CACATGGGGCACCAGGCTGAGGATGTTTGGCTGCCCTGATCACTCCACTGCCAGAAAACATGTCATGGAATGAGAACTTCATAGCACAGATGTGGAGTGGCCCAGGTAGCTTCAGGTGAGGGTGGTGGGCCTCTCTGCTGTCCTCAAATACTGCTCTACCCTGGCCCGCCCCCTGTCAGAGCAAGAGGATGACTCAGGGCCCAGCTGTCACCACAGCAACACATGTCGCCTAGCAATGGCGGTCTCCCAGCAACGGCTGTTTCCTAGCAATGGGATATTTTCCCGGTCCTGGCTGGAGCCAGCAGCTATTTTTAGCTTGGTTGCAAATCAATCCGCAGCTGCATTTTAGGCTCCTTAGGAGAAGCAAGGTGTGTGTCTGTGTAGGGGTATTTCTTGGCCAAGGGAGAAAAACACTTAAAATAGGGATCTTGCTGCCTAGTGCCCTGAGGTGGGGGGCTAAAGGTAGGAGAGGTCAGATTCCATGGAGATGGGCAGGACCAGAGGTTGTGCAGTCTGCCTGGGAGAGGTGGCAATGATATCTTGTGGGATTCCTGGGAGCTCCTTCCCAAGGCTGGTGGCTTTTGAATTCTGAGGCTCTGTATGTCAAGCCAAGCAGGATGTCCTAGGCCAGTGGCCCTGGTGAGTGTCACTAGAACATATTAGTGGGTGGTTTTGGTACCTCTTGTCCCTCAATGGTGAAAACTGTCTCCGTTGTTCCCAGCCACCAGCTCCACCAAGCAATACATCAGTCTCCCTAGTCAACCAGAGCAGATGCAGCATATTCCTAGTTTGAGGGGACTACGTGTCATAGGGTCAGTTGGGGACACACGAAGGGCTGGCCTCAGGTCACCACATCTCTACCTCATCCTGTTGCTACTGAAATGTGAGACCCAGGTTGGGGGGTCTTGGGCAAGTGGGAGATCTGACTTTTTTCTGGGCTTTCTCATTGTGTCCTCAGGGGCTCTGTCCACTGGTGCTTTGAGACCAAGCCCAAACTATCCCTTAGCCAGTGGTCCTTGCAGGGCTGGCCTTGTCCACCTCCCTACCATCCACCTTTTGCAGTCAACACTGCTTTCTGTTGGTGTTGCTCTGGGGGATTCTAGCTAGACTAGCTCCCTGACTTGTCAGGAGTGCTTCTTGTCTGTCCCTACCATTCCCTTCCTGAAGCCCTCTACCCTGCAGGGCAGCCACCTGTCTGCCATTGTGTCCCTGCAAGATGGTGGGGCTGCCTGTTCCTAGCCCTGCTCAGGGAGGGTCCAGCTCACTGTGGAAGTAGCATCAGAGCCCTTAGCTTGACAGCACCTGTGTCATGGGGCAATGCCAGCAGTGGGCAGCCCCAGGGGGGTGACACCCTGACAGGGACAGAGGCCTGCTTATACCCAAGCACCCCATCAGTCTATGCTTCCAAGGCCCCTATGGAGCAGCCAGTACAGACACTGGGACTCACGTCTCAGGACAGGTTCAAGCTGGCCACCCCTCACTGGGTCAAAGGGCTTTGGGATGGTGATGTCCATGTGGCCAAATTTGGGCAGAGCAGCAGTCTGGAGAAAGGGGCAACAATTCTGGACTCTTCAGTCTCCCAGAGGGGGCCAGAAACTGCACCATGGCACCTTCCTGAAATGCACCCTCAGGAGGTTATTGAGTCCTTCCCGGTTCTGTCATTCTGACTTAGGTGAGAACTGGGAGAGGCCACTTTTGAGGGCTCATGGCACTGGAGGGTCTGGATCTGGGGACACTCAAGGGAACCCCAAACTGTAGGTAGCCGAGGGAGTTACCTGAAGTTTGGAAGTCATTCATTCACTTATTTATTCTCTAAGTATTAGTTGAGTTCCTGCATCCAGGTGTGTCATGTTTTAAACCCACAGCAATCCAGGCCAGACATGGCCTCCTGGACTCCATGATCATGGGTAGTAGAGGTCTGATGGCTAGTGATACCCACATACTTCCTCAGGTGGGGCAGGAGCTGTGGGAAGTGGTGTCTGTCCAGGTCTCTTATGGTGACAGGATCATTGGCAGGCCCTTAAAAGATGAGGCTGGAGTGAGGGGCAAAGGGCAAGACAAGCTCAGAATTGAGGAGGCAGCTCAAGCCAGGTGTGTGACTCCTCCAGACCAGGGCACCCTAGAGAAACCTGCTGTTGTGCCCAGGACAGTGGCCCCTCCTCTGGGCAAGGGCTGGGGTAGGAGGTTGGGGTGTGAGGTTGGCCAGAGGCAGACAGACCTGAGGCTGACCCATCACAGTGCCACCAGGGGGTGCCTGGAGCCCACTGTCAGCCTCAAAGGTTTAAATTAGGGTGGCCGCTACCCTAGTGACCACCAAGAAGTAGTTCTGTAGCTTCTAGGCCAGCATAGCTGTGATGGTCAACTGGAGTGTCCACTTCCTCTGCGAGTGCCTCTATGTCTGCTATGTCCCCACTGTATCTAACCCTTTCCTCTCCTTTTTTTCAGCACTGAGGACTGAGCCCAGGGTCTCATGCATGCCAGACAAGTGCTCTACACTGAGCTACAACCTACCCTTTTTATTTTGAGACGGGGTTGCACTAAATTGCCCAAGCTAGCTTTGAGCTTGCTATCTTCCGGCCTCAGTTTTCCCAACAGGTGGGTGTGCCCAACTATTCCCGGGCTCCTTTTAAATATTTATTTATTTATTTTTGAACTCAGTATTCAAGGCCCATCTTAACTGCATAGTGAGACCCTGTCTCATAAAAATTATTATTATTGGATGATTGAACTCAGGAGCTTGCACATGCCAGGCATGTGCCCTCTCACTGAACTACAGTCCCACCGCATTGTAACCAAGGGCAGATGTATTAGCTTTCCCCTGCTGGGACACAATACCATCTTTTCTCTGCCATGGCCCCCTGCCATGATGTGTCTGCTTTGAATACAGCTGACTATGGACTGAATCCCCTGAAACTGTGAACAAAATTAAAGCTCTCCTTTAAGTGGTGGGTGTCGGGTATTGTGTATTGTTTGGTAGTGTCACATACATTCTCATTGTTGTATAACCAATCTCCAATACTCTTTCCATCTTTATAAACTGAAAGCTATGCCTGTTTTCACTTGGTATATATCTTCAAGGTTCATACATATTATAGCAGGTGTGAGAACTTCATTCTTTTCTCCTAAATAATAATAAACCATAGTGTGGATATATAATACATTGTTTATCCACTTTCCTGCTGTGCTAGGTTAAGATATTCAATTTAGCTGGGCATGGCGGCACACATCTCTAATCCCAGCACTTGGGAGGCTGAGGCAGGAGGATTGCCATGAGTTTGAGGCCAGCCTAGGCTACACAGTAAGTACAAGGCCAGCCTGAATTGCATAGTGAGACTTTGTCACAAAAAAACAAAAAACAGAAAACCACACATGTGGGTCTGGGGATTTAGCTCAGTGGTGCTGTGTCTGCCTTGCAAGAACAAGGTCCTGAGTTTGATCCCCGGTACCAGAAGCACACCTCACACACACACACACACACACACACACACACACACGCTGAAAACAAAAATCAAAAAAGTTTAACTTGAGGGGCAGGATGTAGCTCAGCGGCACAGTGCCTGCTTGGCAAGAGTAAGGTCCTGAGTTTGATCCTTGGTACCAAAAAATAAAAAAGATTAACTTGATTGCCTTGTGGGATAGTAAAGCACACTTCTGGGAGTGTCTGGGTGGATCATGGAGATACGACCTAGGGTACTCCCAGAATATATGGTCTCTGGCCCTTCCCATCTGACCTCAGCTCTGCTTTCCCCCGCCACCATGAACTAAGCAACTTTTCTCTGACATATCCTTCTACCTTAATGTTTCTGCCTAGGAGCCAGTTGACCATGGACTGAATCCCCTGAAGCTGTGAGCAAAATTAAACTTTTCCTTTAAGTTGTGGGTGTTGGGTATTGTTTCCCAGCACAGAAAACTTAATGCACCGGGTCTTGGACACTTGAGTTATTTTGACCATTGTCACTCCCTAATCTGACCCCTGTGCCAGGGGCATTCGTCAACTGAGCCCCTCTGGAGCTCTCATTGGTCCGGGAGGGCCCTGGGGTCAGGGGAAGGGTGACTGGTACTTTGAAGCTCTCATTTGGGCTGGCAGTGAGATCCAACAGACCCCTCCCACTGGGGCCCTTGACCTCATCTGTGGCTGTGAGGGAAGGCCCTGAGCAGTGGGAGGGCCGGGGGCAGTGGGCTGCCTAGTCATACCTATCTGCTGCAGAATCCCTGGGTTCTGGACACATCCAGGATTTCCTAACTGGTTGAACATTTCAGGACTGCCTGCCATCACTCCCCCAGCCTGATTCTGGGCACTTTTGCGTGTCCCTCATGTCACCTAGCCAGGATTAGTGGGGGTCTGCTTCTGTGGTACAGGATGCCTTTTGCTTAGCACTCCTGTGCCACAGGCCCGCCTGGCACTGATGGCTCCCACATGCTAGCCCCAGAGAGCCCCTTTCTTCACTATTCATTCAACAACCATGGCATGTGAAGCATGGGTCTGAGAAAAAGATGTTGCCAAAAGAGGGTCTGCTCTGACTAGGCTGTCCGGCCCTGTCCTCCAGAGCTTGCCACCTCAGCCTTATGACAGCTGGTCTTCCCAAACCCAAAGCTGGCCCAACCCCAGGGCAGCCAGCACCTGCCCCTCCCCGCACTGGGCCAAGACTCCTCTTTCTTCGGGTACCAGGTGGTCGGCATGTGGGCTAGAAGCTCAACTCGTACCCTCAGGGAGGGCCACTCCCACCTCCCACTCCAGAGGTTCCACTGGACTTCGGCCCTCCAGCCCCCACCCCACCAAGGACTCCAGAGCTAAGGACAATGCCCAGACTAGGAAGGGGATGCATGGCGAGGCAGGGGCGGCTGCACTTCCCTCCCGCTTTCTGGAAGCCCGGGCAGTGGACTGTCAGTTCTCTCGCTGCTTGCTCACCCGGCTTCCATGATTGGCTGAAAGTTCCGGAGCCCACGGCTATTGGCCACGCGCCAAAGCCCCGCCCCCTATCCCCGAGCCGGGCGACAGAGTGTAGGCTTTCAGAGGCGAGCTAGCGGCCGCCGGTGGAGGGGACGCGCCGGGCCGGGCCGCAGCGCCCCGCCCCGGGGCTGCAGCCCTAGACTCCCACCCAGGCCCCGGCGCGTCCCCTCGGCATGCCGCCCCCCGCCCTGTTCTGTGCTCTCTGCTGCGGGCTCCTGGCCGCGTCCGTGCATGCCGGCTACTCCGCGGACCGCTGCAGCTGGAGGGGCAGGTACGAGCCGCGGGAGCCAGCTGTGTCCCCTCGGAGGGGCGGGGGACAGCGTCGCGCCCGCCTTGGGTGCGCTCCCCGGGGAATTGGGGCCACGCTGGGCTGCGGCCACCGTTGATGGAGTGGGGAGTGGGGCGCCGGACCCACGCCTCAGCGCCACCGTCCTGTCCACAGCGGCCTGACCCAGGAGCCGGGCAGCGTGGGGCAGCTGGTCCTGGCCTGTGCGGAGGGCGCCGTGGAGTGGCTGTACCCGGCAGGGGCGCTGCGCCTGGCCCTGGGCGGCCCAGACCCCAACGTGGGGCCAGGAGTCGCCTGCCTGCGTCCCTCTCGGCCTTTCGCTGGCGCCCAGGTATTCGCGGAGCGCACAGGTGGAGCCCTGGAGCTGCTACTGGCTGAAGGCCCTGGCCTGGCTGGCGCCCGCTGTGTGCACTGGGGTCCTCGCGAGCGCCGGGCCCTTTTCCTGCAGGCCACCCCGCACCGTGACATCAGCCGCCGCGTGGCTGCCTTCCGCTTCGAGCTGCGCGAGGATGGCCGTCCAGAGCTGCTGCCCCAGGCCTCTAGCCTTGGCGTGAATGGTGAGTGACCACCGGAGTGGGGACAGGTGGAAGTCAGACTGGCCCCTACCTAGGCCTGGCCGGAATAGGCCCTGTTATCCCAAGGCATAGAGGGTCCAAACCCCATGGTCAGGTGGAGCGTGGGGAGGCCCTGCCTTCCCTCCTTCCTGCTCAGGATTGATTTGAGGGAGGAGCAGGCTGAGTGAATGCAGGAGAGGATGGTCCAGGCAACTTCGGGCCCGTGGTCCCTGAAGGGGTGGGGGAGGGGCAGTGGAGGCAGAATCTCAGCCTTAGACAGAAGCTGTCCAGAGCTCCCTGGCCTGGCAGTGACCTCATCCCCCTCCCCCAGCCCAGCCAACAAAAGTCCAGTGTGCCGCCCAGTCACCATGGAGACACTGCCTTGCCTCCCTGCAGGGCATCAGGCCTGGGCTCCTGGAGCCTGAAGCCTGACCCTGCAGGGGATGGGGTATTCACTGTTCTCCGAGCTTGGGCTTAGGCCAGGGACCCAAGGAGCCAGAGCCCCCATAACCTGTGGCTGCCCTAGTGGCACTGCTGCTCTTTGGGCCTCAGGAGTTGGCTCTGGGAGCTCAAAGAAGGTGAGATGGGATAAAAGTATGCAGGATGCTGGAGCTACAGGTGGGCAAGTGCTGTGGCCCGTAGGCCTATGTAAGTCACACCATGGAGACTTGTGCCTGCCACACATTACCTGCCACACAAGTGTCTTCAGTGTTGTGAGCACACCTGCTGAGAAGAGTCTGGGGACCAGCTTTTCCCCACCCCATCTCCTCCTGGGTTGGGTGGTGATAGGGGACCATAGGGCCTAGACTCACACCCCATCCCCTGTTTGCCAGGTGCCTGCAGGCCTTGCAGTGATCCTGAGCTTCTCCTGGCTGCATGCACCAGTGATTTTGGTGAGTGTCCTCATTATGGCAGGAGCCTGGATCCTCCCCCCACCCCAGAACGCTCAGCACTGGCCAACATGTCTCCCCATAGTGATCCATGGGACCATCCACCGGGTTGCTCATGACACAGAGCTGCAAGAATCTGTCATCACCGTGGTGGCCTCCCGTGTCCTCCGTCAGACGCTGCCACTGTTCCTGGTGGGGGTCTCTGAGGGCCAGAGGCAGGCCTCCATTAGAACACTGCTGCGCTGTGGTGTCCGCCCTGGTCCAGGAACCTTCCTCTTCATGGGTTGGAGCCGCTTTGGTGAGGCATGGCTGGGCTGTGCTCCCCGGTTCCAGGAATTCAGACATGCTTATGCAGCAGCCCATGCTGCCCACCTCAATCCCTGTGAGCTGGCACTGGACTGAGCCTTCCTCTGGGGCAGGGTGCTGGGGAGGGGTTGGTGGGAGGGTAGGTGGGGAGACAGTGGCCTCCGGATGGCATCAAGATGCTCAGTGGTTCTGAGGTGATAATAAGAACATTGATTATACCAGCCACTGTAGAACTGGTCTCCTGTGGCAAGCCCAGCACTGGACCTGCTTCATGTCATTTAATTTTCCCTCTGCTTCCCCTGCCCACCTCTCCTTACTGGTGACCCCTGCTTATTGACAAGCTTCTGTATGCCTCCATGTCAGGGTGCTTCTGGGGCCTCAGAGCAGGAGTGGAAAAACTGACAGTTCCTAATGGCTGAAGTGGTTGTGGTCCCTTAGGTGGACAGGGAGGGCAGGCTGGCAGACACCAGTCTTGGCTGTGGACTTGGCCTGTGAGAGAGGGGGCTGGCAGGATGCCAATTCTCTCTGTGGTTGCTGTGAGCCACAGTCATCCTTGGCCTGGTCCCACCCTTGGGAAAGAAAGGGCCCCTCTGTCCAGAGGCCCCTGCAACGTGCTAAGCATCCAGACATAGCAAGGAGCCTACAGGGTGTGGGGTCTCCATTGCAGGATCCTGCTTGTTGTCTGTTTCCGGCAGGCAGGGTGCACAATAGGGTCTCTAAGGACTGCTTCCCGCCACTGGCCCCATTGTTGCTGTCCATGCCTTCTTCCTCAGCCTCTCAGCCACATAAAGCGGTAGCAAGTTTCTGGACAAAGCTCAGAGCCCCGAGGCTGACAGCCCCTGGGCAGATCCCTCTCACCTCACCCCCTTCAGTTCCTGGGAAAGAGCTCAGGGAACCCCTAGACTGAGCCCCAGAAATGGCTTTCCATTCTTGCCTCTCCTCACTAGGGAAGGGGTCAGGGGTGGCGTGAAGGCCAGAGGCCCTGCTGAGGCTAAATGGATCTCTCATCTTTCAGGCAAGAAACAGGCTGGGAGAGGATCAAGGCTCTGCAGGGCCCACAAATCCTTGTTCCAGAATGAGCTGACAAAGGTGCCCTATGTATGGGTACCCAGTGGGTCACTCCTGTGTCCACCCAGGAATCCCCATGGGACAGCCTGTCTTTTTTTTTTTTCCCTCCCAATTTTTATTTTTTTTTATTAGCACAGTTCACAGTACTTTGTGATCATATGACTTGTGGGGAATTGGTACAACCATATAACTCAATTCTTTTATCCCTCCATACCCTCCATCTCTTGGTCCTCAGGGTCAGGCTGTTTTAAACCACATGGGAGGGGTGTGATCCTTTACTTAGATCACTTGCTCACTGGGATGCTGACAAGAATGGTGGGCCCTGGGCTCAATCTTCAGTACCCTCCCCGCCAAAAAGGTGTGGATGAACTTAAAGGCTGGGGTTACAAAAGTGGCCCGGGGTCAGGGAGTGGTGGTGCACACCTGTAATCCCAACACTCTAGAGGGTGAGGTTGGAGGATTGCTTTGAATTTGAGGCCAGCCTGGGCTACACAGAGTTCAAGGTCAGCCTAAACTACATAGTGAGACCCTATATCAAGAAACAAAAACCATGGGGCAGGGATTTAGCTCTGTGGTGCCACAGCCTGCCTTGCAAGCGCAAGGACCTAAGTTTGATCCCTGGTACAACCCCCCCCCCCAAAAAAACACAAAAAACAAGACAAAGTGACCTGGAGACCATGTGTAGGCCAACAATGACACCTCCAGGTGCATGGAAACTCCCACAGGTAGACTCCCTTGGCTGTAGAGTGACCAAAGTCCAAGGACCAGAGTTTGGTGTGAATGTGAGTGGTTAGGTACATTGTTGAGGGCCTTTTAGGTGCCAGGGACTGCTCTGGGACTGGGAGTAATGCAAGGAGCAAAGAATGGGTATCTAAACCCTCCCTGCTTAGAGCTCAGTAAGCACCCTTCCTTTCTTGGGGTAGCCCAGTTACAGGCCCTGAGGAGGCTGGGGACTCTGAGCTGGGTGGGCCAGACCTCCTCCTTTCTCAGGTAGAGGCTTTCTGGCTGCCCTGAGGAGGCTTTCCTGTTGTCCCAAGACACTGGTTCTTCAGCTGGCTTAGGCTAGAGTCAATGTGTGAGGGACTCTGCATTTGGAGGATGGGCTGGTGGTCTTGGGCATACCTACTTTGTCTGGAAGTAGTCTCTCATTTTTGGTACCGAGTAGTCTCATTTTTGCTGAGATTCCGGACTAGGGCCATGGACAGCTGAGAAGCCAGGGCCTGGTGTGTGCACCAACAAGCCTCTGCCATTGACGGGCATTTGGCCTTAACATGGGGTGAGGTTGACCCAAGCTACCTGACCTGAGGTTTTTCTTCCCCTTGCCTCCACCCTAGTTTTACCAGGAGCTCCTCAATTTTTTGTTTTCTGAAGGAGGGCGATGTGCCCCTCTCCTGAAGATGCCTTCCAACCCGCGCTGGGCCAGCTGCCAGAGGCCCGGCCTCTCATATCCGGCTCTCCTCCCACCACACTCACTAGAGAGCCAACATCTGTCTTCTCACCCACTAAGTCTTTGTCAAGCCCCTCCTCTTTCAGATCCCTCCCCCACGCACATCCCCCGTTTCCCATCTAACTGTCCTAGCTGTGGGAGAGAAGCCAAAGCCTGTTGGGGGGTGGCTCTGGCCCGCTTCTAGTGTGACCCGGCCTCCCTGACAGTCACTCGGGAGCCTGGCTATGGCCCAGGGCCTGCAGGGTTGGGCGCTTTCCCTGTCCCTCGGGACCCTGTTTCTGCTGGCTCCTGTGTATCCCATCCCTCGCGATAGGGTGTGCGTTCCACAAAGTTGGGGACTCGACCTCCTCCCAGGGTCCCTGCAACACAAGTCCCAAGGAGCCACCCGCCGAGAGGATCACCAAAGGCCAAACCCCACCGGCTCCGAGCGGAGTCTGACGGCAGCGCAGGCTGACTAGGGCACCGCTGGTCGGAACCTGGGGTGGGGGTGGGGCCTGGGTGGAGACCGGCGGAGCGAAACGCGCGACGGACCAGGAGCGCGGGACGGGCCCTGTACAACTTCCGGTATCTCGCCACCGCCTCCGCCCCATCTGGTGTTGCCACCACGGTCCCTGGTAGGCGCGGGGTGGACAGGGTAGGGAGGGAGGCACCCTCCAGTTCCAAGCTGAGAGCCAGGGAGGAACATTGGGCGGGACGACCCTGAGCTGCAAGTGCACCCATGGAGCACGACGACCCAGCCGAAGCATTGACGGAGCTGCGTGAACGGCGGCTGAGCGCGCTGGAGCTGCTTCAGGTTGCTGCTGGATCGGGACTAGCCGCCTATGCTGTGTGGGCGGTACTGCTTCAGCCTGGTTTCCGCCGGGTGCCGCTGCGGCTGCAGGTGCCGGATGGGCTGGCCGGACCAGTAATAGTGAGAGGCCTGGCTTGGTGGGTGTAGCCCCAGCTGGGTAGGGCCAGAAAAGAGCAGGGCCAAAGCGGTGTAAAACCTGGGCTGTAACTGAGTCTGTGGGCGGGACGCACAGAGGTGCGGGATCTCCCGGGTGCGTTGGAGCCCAGATGTGAGGTGAGCTCCTAGTCTGTTGGTACCTGGTGTAAGTGTGGCACGCAGGAAACTGGATGCCCAGGAGGCAAGTCCCCTATTCCCCAGTAATTTGGAGAGGACATGTGAGGGGCTCGAGTGGCACAAGGGCTCTGACCTCAGCCCGCCCACTTCCTTGTCCAGGTGCCCTACATAGGTGCGAGCACCCAGCAAGTTGAGCATGTGATATCGCTGCTTCGAGGCCGCCCGGGAAAAACAGTGGATCTGGGTTCTGGCGATGGCAGAATTGTAAGGCCAGTGTGTGCGAGTGTGTGCGTCTGTTGACTGTCTCTCTGTCCCCACTCCCACATCCCGGTCCCCATTTCGGTTCCTGCAGGTACTGGCGGCCCACAGGTGTGGGCTCCGTCCTGCTGTGGGGTACGAGCTGAACCCGTGGCTCGTTGGGCTCTCGAGGCTGCATGCCTGGAGGGCTGGCTGCATGCACAGCGTCTGCTATCTCCGGGAGGATCTTTGGAAGGTAACCTAAATCCCTCAGATCCCACACTTGGTCTCCAAGCCTCTGCTTTTAGCTTGGCCACCTGCTCACAACCCCAGGTGCTTCCGGCAGCAGGGTGGGTTGGGGGCCAGGACTCAGAAACTGCAAGGACCTCCTGCCCGCCAGCCCTCTTCCTCTGTGAGGTGACTGCCTCCTCCTACAGGTCAGCCTGAGGGACTGCTACAATGTGTCTGTGTTCCTGGCCCCCAGTGTGGTAGGTCTGGGGTCTGCTGCTCCACTGGGAGGCTGGGCCACAACCTGGGTATTTCCAAGGGGTGGGGGGCTGGGGATGGGTGCTGGGTCTGCTGTCCCTGCACCCACTTCTCTACTGCTTTTTCTAACAGCTCCCGTTCTTGGAAGATAAGCTGCAAGCTGAGCTGCCCACAGGGGCCCGTGTGGTATCTGGGCGCTTTCCCCTCCCCACCTGGCAGCCTGTGGCTGTGGTGGGTGAAGGCCTTGATCGAGTCTGGGCTTATGACATCCAGGGTGATGGGCCACCTCTGTCTTCTTGGGAGGTACCTGTCAAAGCCACCCCAGGATCCAGCTCTACCTCAGTCCTTAAGGCTCCCATTTCCCAAGCTAGCTGACCAGACACAATAAAGACTCCATGGGTCTCAGGCTGATTTCTTTCATAGAGAGCTGGGGGGAGGGATTTCTCTATTAGGTGAGGCTGGGGTTTGGAGAGGGCTCCATGCTGGCTGTCCAGGGGTCTCTTCAGAAGAAGGCCTTGTGGCTTAGCGGCTGTGGGTCCTTGAATGCTGGGGCTTGGCTGCAGTTGGGAACCCCACTTTCCAGGGGTCCCCTGCACCCACCAGCTTCCTCAGCCTCAGGACTTCCTGCTTATACCTGCTCGAAGGGGCCATCTGAAGTCACCTGCCTAGCTAGGGATTGTCTTTCCTCCCACCCAGGCCAGGGCCATCAGGTGACCTAGCCAACCTGCCAAGGTGCTGGTCCACATACTCCTGAAGCTCAGAAAGCCGCTCTTCAGCCTCAGAGGCCCTGACCAACAGTTGTGCTCGTTCACGTTCCAGCTCTGCCTGGTAGGGAATATGAGCCATGAGCCAGGGCAGAGTGTGAGGAGGGCCCCCATCAGGCCTTGCCCACTACCTGGGTGCCTTGGGAGAAGTCTTGGAGCTTCTGGCAGATCTGGACCCAGGATGCATTATTTAGAAGCCTGTGAAGGAGAAGGGGCTCTTCAAGGGCTGGTGTAGTAGCTGCTGGAGTGAGTTTGGGCCAGCCCTGCCCAGGCCTTGAACATCTGTGCATGGAGGGCCTGCTGGCTGGCTCAAACAACCCCAGTCTACAGAGATGCTACCTACAAACACATACCAGGTGTTTGTGTCCCTAAACCCTGGAAGGTGCTCCCTCAAGACCTCTGCCCACTGTACAGCTGGGAAGGTGGACACCCAAAAGCAAGAACTGGCCAGGTCACCAGGCAGCCAGCTCCTACCCTATCTTCATCTCGGGATACCCCAGGTCTTAGCTGAAATGGCCCTTAGTGGGCTCTCCTGACTCCCCATTCAAGATTGACCCCTCTCCTGGCAAGGCCCCTTTTTACTGACTAGACTCAGCACAGCGGCCACTTCATTTTTCTGTGATTATCAGTGTCCCCCACATAAACCCAGAGATCCCAGGCCAGGGACAGCCCATTTGGTTTACTGCAGTGACCAGAGCCCCATCTGGCAGCAAGGGTTGCTGGAATGGTATGAGGCTCTGGTGTTTTGCTCTCTGCTTTTCCCTTTCCGGACCCACCTTCCCCAATCCCAAATGAGGGCACTCACTGTGGCTCTGCCGCACTCCCCTGGGAGGCTTCACCAGGTCCCTTCTGTGAGTACAAAAACAGTGTCTCAAGCCTGCTGTGCTGCAAAGGTTTGAGGTGGGGATCCTTCAGTTGGCTGAGCAGGGCAGGCTGCTCAGAGGTCCTGGGGCTGGGCTTTGCTGAGCTTGAGACAGTGAGCTCTGGGGCTCTATGCCCCACAGTGGTGTGGGGTAGCAGAAAGGGAGCCTGGAGTTTCTGGAAATGGATTTCCAGCCTTACCTCATCTTTCTGCAGGTGACTGAGCTCAGTGGCCAGGTGCACGGGCAGTGGCTCCAAGTCAGTAGCTGCAGCAAAGGTAGCCTTGAGGGTTCCGGGTGCCATGTTGGGGTCCACCAATGCCTGGGGCTGCTCCCGCTGCCTACTAAGTCACACTCTGGGTCACGCAGGGCCATCCCACCCCAGGTGCCCAGGTCAGGGCAGGACCCACCTGCAAGTGACCAGCAGCTCCTCATGCCTACAGCTCAGATCTGCCAGACGCTTGCGGTAGACCCGAGCAGCCCGTGCCAGCTGTTGCTCACGGCTACGGTGCGCTGCCCGGATGTTCTCCAGAGTGGTGTCCAGAAATGTCTGAAGGGCTGCTTGGCCTGCACCATCGGCATATTTCTGGAGGAGGCGAGGTGTGCTGGAGGTGAGCAGGGCAGGGCTTGGTTGGCCCTAGCCTCAGACCCTTGGGGTCCCCTGAAGCTGTCTAGGAGGCTTGGGTTCCCCAGGACTCAGAGGCCTCAGCTCACCCATCCCAGGGTCAGGGCCTAGGGCTAGGTGCTTACCACCACTTCTTGGGCACAGTGCTGCAGCTGGATGGCATACTCTTCATTCATCTTCTTCAGCTGCAGCTGCAACTGGGCATTTTCAGCCTCAGATTGGCAGAGGCGGCCCTTGCAGGTGGACAGCACCTGGTGTGCAGAAGGGACTTTTGCTGAACTTGTAGGGCCCCCACCTGTGGATCTTAAAGGTTGTAGGATGGGATAGGGCCTCACCACAGATTGTGTAGCCAATTGCTGCCTGGCTGCCCTGGCATCCTCTTCGGCTCTCTGCAGCTGCTGGCCCAGGGCTGCCCTGCTGACACAGTATGAGGTCAGCTGGACCAGGGTGAGGGCACCCCTCAGCCCCTTGGGAATGCTGCTCTGAGCAGTGCTGTGCTGGGCTCTCCCAGTCCCAGGCGAAGAAACCACTCACATCCGTGTCTCTAGTGCCTGCTGCTGGGCTTTGTGACGTTCCAGCACCTGCTTCACTTCTCCCTGCAGCTGTTCCCAGCCTCCCAGCAGCTGTGAGGTGCACAAGGGCTGGATGCAAGAGACCCCAGCTCCAAGATCCCTGTATGGCCCCCATCATCACCCAAGGTTGGGAGAACCCCAGGCAGGACCCCAAGGTAGGTAGCTGCCTGCTCATGTTGCATCTGGCTTCAATTGCTCAGGCTCAGGGGTCAGCATGCCTTTGAACTAGAGGGCAGGGACCGCTGAGGAGTGAGCACACAGGTTCCACCTCACTGTGCCCTATGGAGGCTCCTACCCACCCAGCCAGCCCAACTCTGTGTGCTCATGGTAACCTGGAGTCTGCGGTGACCAGCGTATCCAGGTGCCTTGGCTTCCTGACTGAACTCTTGTGCCAGTGCCTGGTGGTGAGCTGGGTTGGCCTCCACTGGGGCTGTGCGCCCTGCCCTGGCACGGTCTCCATGTAGCTCCAGGTCTAGCACCCGGCTCTCCAGGTGAAGGACCTGTGGGCAATTCTGGTGAGCAGGTGCACTTGTCTATGGGGCTGCCTGGAACAGGTAAATATTAGCTGGGCACACCCAGGGATAGAGCACACATGCTTGCTTGTATGTGCATGCTTGTGTGTGCACCCTTATGCACCTGGACACCTGTGGCACTTGCCCTAGTATACATCCTGTGCACTCAGGCTCACACCTGTGGGCTCCTACAGCTACTCACCTCCTTCTTCAGCTCGAAAACTTCAGCCTCGTGCTGCTCCTGCAGGCGATGGGTTGTGATCTGGAGGTCGACCAGCTCCTTAGAGATCTGTGTGTAGCCAGGGTGAGAGTGCTGCCTGTGGGACCCTGTGGGTGACCAGTTTGGCCATCATCCTGGGGGCCCCAAACTCACCTGTAGCCGCTGCTCCTCACTCAGCTCCAGATCTGACAGGAACTCTGACTCTAGATTGGTGGCCCAGGCTGGATCACCCTCAGGGAGCAGGGAGCAGGGCTTTGCTGGCAGCCAGTCCTTAACTCGTGGTACAACCTGGGAAGGCACCACCACACTGCCCGGGGGGGTCCCAGGTCTGAGCTGTGGACCCCACTCTCACAGAGTCATCAGCCCTGCCAAGCTGGGGCAACCTTTTCCTTGGCTAGAATCAGACCCAGGAGTCAGGTACGTGCACCCGTCCTGGCCTCTGGGAAAGGACGGACCCCTGATCCTAGGGTGGCAGCAGAGTCCTGGGGGGACTCACATTCTCTGTGGCCTGAGGGAGGGCCCCTGGCCTGCGGCCTTGAGCTGCTGTACCCTCCATATTGAACAGGAACTCAGAGGCCTCTTGCAAACTCAGTGCTTTGACCCTGCCCTAGCTTGCCCTGCCTGGTGGTTGTTGCTCTGCGCTGTGCAACGTTACCAAGGCCTCTGTTGGTTTTAGGGACTCCCGGGCCCGCCCACAGGGCCTGGCAGTTTAGTAGTGGGCAGGTTGGGGAACTCTCAGCTCTTGCCATATATGGTGCCCCTCCTTCCTGGTTACCTTTGCTCACCTGGGAAGTGCAAATAAAACCAGGCTGCTGAGCTAAAGCTGCTGCTGTTGATACTGTTTTCCTGTGCCAGCTTCCCTATCCTATCATGTGGATTCACACACTCATTAGACACCTTGTGTGTACCTCCTGGTTCTGCCTGAACTTGGGATAGGCAGGTAAACAAGGTGGTCAGCCCTCCCCAACTCAGCCTGAGAGACGAGGCGCAGATGTCCCAGCCAGAGGACAGGGCCCCAGAAAGCCTGGTTCAGCCCGGATGCCCTGAGGGCTTCCCAGAAGTGCCCAGAGTCCAGCGCCAGGTCAAAACGTGCGCTCCTGTCCGCGCAGGCGAGGTCCGTCAGCCGCCCGAGGCCCCGCCTCTATCCATCAGTCTGTTGAGTGCCTTCTAGGTTGTCCTTGCAGGTGTGAGGGGACGGCGAGAATAGGCTGTCCCGGGTCTAGGGTCCCCAGGTAGCGGTTGGGCGGGACCTGCGGAAGAGGCATGGCCTGTTGGCACTGAGGGTGTGGCCTGGAGGGAAACTACGCTGCACGGCTTGAGGGCGTGGCTCACGGGGTGACAGTGCGTCTTGAGGGGAGAGGCCTGTAGTAGAGGAGTGACCTGCCAGGACTAGGGGCGGGCCCTGGGAAAAAAAGGCGCAGGGCAGTCTGGGAACGTGGCTCGCTGAGGCAACGGGCGGGGCTGCATCCCTTGCAAAGGCCTGCTTGCACCAGGAATGAATTTCATGCGGGCCAACTGGTTAGCTTCCGGAGCAGAAAGCAGGGCTCTGCTTTCACACTGGGTGTGTGTGCGCAGGTGTGCTGATCCTGCCTCGCACAGCACAGAAGTACTCAGTAGCCTGGGGGCCTCTTTTGGAGGAGGCATGGGCAGCTGAGTTTTTCGACCATGAAGGTCAAGGTCATCCCTGTGCTTGAGGACAACTACATGTACCTGGTCATACAGGAGCACAAGAGGGAAACTGTGGCAGTGAATGTGGCCTTGGCCAAGAGGGTGAGGGCCAGCTCTGGGCCGCAGGGGGCACCACTGCACACCCCCCCTGATGGGTTTTCAGCCACCCTAGCTGGAGTAGACCAGGCCTCGTCTCTAATTTGGCATTTAGGGGCCGGGGATTTACCTCAGTGGTTCTGGCGCCTGCCTTGCAAGGCCAAGGTCCCGAGTTAGATCCCTGGTACCAAAAAAAATCTCTAATTTGGCATTTAAGGTTTCTTGGAGCTACCCTGAAGTTGGGGCCATCTTTGGTGTCCCCACATGTGTGGTGCATCCAGTAGCTGTCAGATGCCTCCCTCACTCCATGATGCCTTGGGTTAAGGTTAGGGTCCTGGCACTTTGGTATGGAAAGGGTCAACGGACCCACTGAAGCTCCATCCCTTCCAGTTGCTGGAGATTGCAGGCTGGGACGGGGTGTCTGACTGCTGTGCTGACCACCTACCACCACTGGTGAGCTTGAGCAGTGGGTAGAGGATTCTTCTTCTACACTGCACGCCCTGATCTGGTGCCTCCTGTTGGTCCCTAGGGACCATGTGTGTGGAAATGAGCTGACACAGCTGCAGCCAGGGCTGGCAGTGATGGGTGCGGATGAGTGCATCTCTGTACTGACTTGAAAGCTGGCACAGGGTGAGGAGCTGCGGGTGAGCTATGCTCAGGAGGACTGGGAAGGTTCAGCTGCCCAGCCCCTTCACAGTCCGCTTCCTCTCTGCTGCAGTTTGGGGCCATATATTTCCAATGCCCACTGACTCCCGGCCACACCTTTGGTCACATGAGCTACTTCTTGTGGGAGGATGAGTGTCTGGACCCACCTGCCCTCTTCTCAGGTACAGCAACCCATCCCAGTACTGTGGCCCAACCCCCAGTTTCTCTGACCCACGCTCCTCCAGGGGACATGTTGTCAGTGGCTGGCACCTGGAGGGCAGCACTCAGCAAATGTTTCAGAGCCTGGCTGAGACCCTGGGTACCCTCCCCCCGCAGATGGTGAGCCAGCCTTGGCACTCCCTGTGGCTCCAGACCTGTGCTTCCTCTGGAATGACCCAAATGCTCTGCACTGCCCTGCCCTAGACCAGGGATCTGAGTACCTTCCTGGCCTCTACTTCTTGGGGTAGCGCTGGGCACCCACTGAGCATTCTCTTCTAGAAGGTATTCTGTGGCCATGAGCACACACTAAGCAACCTCAAGTTTGCACATAAAGTAGAACCCTGCAGTGACCACCTAAGAGCCAAGCTGTCCTGGGCCCAGGTAGGCCACTCCTTGTCTACTGTTGGGAGGGCAATAGAGTAGGGGAAAGATAGGCAGTGTCCCCCTGGAGTTTGGGTGCAGGGACTTAAGACAGCTCCTGAGTCAGCATGACTGATTTCAGGAAAACAGCTGACATGGAATGTGCTATTCTGCTATGGCTCCCCCTGTGACCCGATCCAAGCAGCTTGGGCTGTCAGAAAATTGTGACAAGGGCCTGTGGTCATTGCAGAAAAGGGATGAGGATGACATGACCACTGTATCCTCAACCTTGGGAGAGGAGTTCCTATATAATCCCTTCCTGAGGGCAGGATGAGTAGAGCCCCTTTCTGGGCTTTCTAGTGGAGGAGGTGGGGAGCCCAGCCAGGATCACTGTGGCAGCCTTGGGCCTGGGGGCTCCCTGTGGAGTAGGCTGACAAGGGCTACCTGGGGGCCTTGCCTCCTGGACAGTCATTTGAATAGTTAGAATGAGTCTAGAGACTGTTTATTGGGCTAAGTGTGCCTGGCACCAAGGAAAGCCCTGTTAAGTGCTTTTCCATCGTTTGCTGCTCTGCCCATCCCTACCCCCATACTCATGGGCAGTGGGCCAGACCACTGGCCCCCCCTAGTGTGATACCCCCCCCCCCCCAGGAGCCGGTGCCAGAGTTCACAGGCTGAACAGCCCCTGCTGAGGTCCTGGAGGTGCTGTGGGGAGCGAGCAGCCTTCCAGCATGCTGCTGAGCCCCTGCAACCACAGGCACCGGCTCTCCTTGCACTGCAGTGGGAGCTCCTAGGTGAAACTGGGCAGAAATGAGCCACAAAGGGAGCCTGCTTGCCTTGTGGCCCTCTGACTGACTGGATCCACTTGAGGATGGCTTCTGGAACCCTCCTGAGGTCCTGCCCAGTTGGCCACCCAGTCTTGGAGGAGCAGCAAGTGGTACTCACCACCTGTCATTTATAGGGGTATAGGCAAGATCTCTGTGGGGCTTCATGGGGCTGAGAAGGGCCATCACCCAGGACTTTGAACCCTGAATAAAGCCCTGAAAGGCCTTTCTCAGTGCTGTACATACTCTTGAAAAGCCAACTGTTTCCAGTTGTTGGACATGTCCCTTTATTAAAAGTGAAGCTTGGTAGGACACAGGCCTAGGGGACCCAGCATTGAGGTGTGATGCTTACCCCAAAGACATGGGGCCCTGTCCTAGGCCCACAGCTTCACAACAGATACCACACTTCCAGGGCCCCGGGCTCCTTTTCCTGCCAGCCAGTCCCTCTGTAGGGCTGTTGTTGGACCTACTCAGCAGGTCAGCCCTGTCACCTGCTTTCTGCACCGAGCTTCAGGAGGTCAGTCTAGAAACTAGGCAGGAAGCTCCCCAGGAGTGACTGCAACAGCCACAGGCAGGAAGGGCAAAGATGGTGCTCAGGGACCTGGCTGAGGTTCCAGAACCCTAGAGGACCTTCAGCCTCCTTGGCTACTTCACTCCCATCTGGCAGGGCCAGGGAAAAGTCTGGAGGTATGCAGGCCAGCACTGGCCAGGTCCTGGAGATAGCCAGTGTCCTGTTTCAGTCCCCGTGGCCCATCTCAAAGTCTGGGGAGAGCCCTGGTGTCTATGGCTCTGCTGGTCCTGTGAGCTCCAGCAGAACCCCAGCCTCCTACCACCGGATACTGAGGCCCGAGCTGGCCTTCTCGACAGCATGGTACTGTGTATGCAGCAGATGCCTGGCCTGCTCTGAGCCCTCACCCTGCAGCCAGTGTTGGTACAGCTCCCAGATCCCAGGGGCATCCTCAGGTGCCTCTTCCCTGATAATGCTGTACAGTCTCTCCACCTGCTGGAGAAGCTCCCTGCCCGGTACATCTGGGGCCTTGAGCTGACCTCCACCATTCAAGCAGCCTGTGGCAGAGCAGATAGTATTGGCATGGTGTTAGAAGGGTGCAAGGCAGAGGGTCCAGCACACGTCCCCTTCCCACTACTCTACCCCCAAACCCCACTGGCAAATCACTATCCAAACGGTCCTAGCACCCTGAGAGGACCTACCTGAAGGGCAGGCCATGACCTCCACATAGTGATAGGGGCAGCGGCCCCGCTTGAGCTTCTGTACCAAGTTCTGGATGTTTCGGAAGCCGTAGGCCATGGCGAAGCGCAGCAGCACCTGGCCCTCCCTCTCCAGGGTCACCTCCTGGAAGTCCTTATTCCTGGAAATAAGACTCACTGTGTATATCACACAATGGCAAGCTCCTACTTGAGCAGGGGGAGGCCTGCTGGACCTGAGGGCATGGCCAGGTGGCTCCCATCCTCTCCCTCTCCTGACAGGGGAGGGACAACCCCAGCCTGCTTCCTTGTCTGTAAGATGGGATTCCTTTCCTAAAGATGGCTTTGAGGCACAAAGTCCAGCCCTCCTACCCAAATGCAGGCAGCTCCCCAGCACACATACAGACTGTGCCAGGTACCCTACTACCCTTGTGCATACTGGCTTCTCTGGTCAGGGTCTCTGCTGCGGGGGAAACAGGCCTCAGTTCACATTGCTGAGCCAGCAAGGAGGGCCCTGTCAGTGCCCAGGGCTCTAAGGCCCTCCACCAAGCCCACCAGAGCAAGAGGACCCAGGGGCCTGGTGCTGACCTAGGGAGCCACACAGCTGCCCTGCCCAGCCTTCCAACCCATCCCACTGACCTCAGGGGTCTGTAGGTGACCTCAGCCACATGGATTCCGAAGAGCTCTTGGGCCGCGTGTCGGAAGACATGCTCCAGGTAGCCTCCTGAGCCCCCACCCCGATGGCCAGTGAGCTCCTCGGCAGACATGCTGCTGGTCCTGGGGGAGGGGCTGGTCAGTGAGGATGAAGGCAGGGCCTCAGCACAACTACAGGCTCCTCAGTTTAAGCCATTTGCTTTTCTAAGTGGGGAATAAGTCAGACACAAAGAACCCTGGTGGCCTTGGTGTATCTGAGACACAGCTGTGCTGCTCTGGCTTCTTGGGGAGCTCAGACCTCCACAAGGCTGGGCTCCACTGATGACATGAGCTCAGGTCCTCCTGCACCCAAAGACAGGCCACAGGGAAGAAAGAGGGCACTGTCCCATCCCACAGGTCACATCTGAAGCCAAAATCACGGTTCCCGGCTCCCTTCACCGACTCACAGGCTGTCCAGAGGGGCTGACTCCAGCTCTGCCAGTGACACCCCCTCCTCCTCCAGCAGCCTGAAGACTTCCCCTGCAATGGACACAGCATGGGCTCAGGCTGGGTCTTGGCTTCCAGGTATCTGCATCCCTGGCAGTCTGCAGTCTGGCCCTAGAGGCTCCCTGGCATCCACCCAGTTGGTGGTGGGAGAACAACCCCCACCTGTGAAGACCCTCGGTAGGACCACCTTGTCCCTGACCTGGGGCAATGGGAAGGTAAGCCAGGGCCAATGTGCTGGTCCCATGCTGGCTATCCAACCTCCTAGGCAGTCTATCTTCCTGTCTTGTTACTAGCTGGGGTGCAGTTCAACTCAGTCACAGGGTGAAGATGTGAGCCAAAGGGCTGACCCTGAAATTCTCGCCTGTCCTCCCAGAGACTCACTGTGGAGCCAACAAGGAGGTGCTACTTGGGGCTCCCATGGCCGAGGCCCCTGCAGGGTGAGCTGAGAATGCTCCCAACCTCTGGCCAGAGAAAGAGATGGGAAGTGCAGAGGCAAGCCCCCCACCTTCCACTGAGCTATGGCAGAGCCTGTGGGCAAGTGCCAGGCAGGGCCTCAAGGTGACCTCACCTGTTGTGAGGACACAGTCAACATCGCGAGTCTGGTACTCCTGGTTGAAGAAGTCAGATCTGGAAGCTTCTAGCTTTTTGTCATAGCAGGGCATCACTGTGATGTGGTAGATCTTGTCAGGGGTCAGGTGCTACAAAGGGAATACAGAAACATGAGTCCCACCTGACTCCATCTCAAATGTGACAGAAGCATGACTGTGGACACAGTCACCAAGGGCTGCTGGCCAGCATGTGACCATGAGCCACACAGCATTTCCCAGCAGCCTTTCTGACAATTCAGTGGATGTGTCAGTAAACACCATAGGCTCCAGCCACTGCCAGGTTATGTCCCTAATATGCAGGGAGGGCTCTCCCTACCCTTGCACTACTGGGATTAGCAGGAAGCAGCAGGTCATGGTGCAAATGAGGACAACCAAGGGAGTCTGGCTGAGTTCACAGGGAGGGAACATGGCAAGAGTGAAGTTAGTGTGTGTGGTTGAGGTTAGTGCAGTCAGTCCCTCCCCTGTTCCCAGAGGCAGGAGCTCCTCACTTATGCAGCTTCTGACCTGGTTGGCTTTAGCCATTGCTTCCAGATCCTGTGGCTGGCTACCTCTGGGCAAATGACAAGTACCTTTCTGTCAGAGCTGGGCCCCCTGGTGACCAGCAGAAGACAAACAGCTTTGGCAGCGGTAGGCTGGCTGAACAGGAATGAGAGCGAGGCCAGGCTGGCTCTGGAGGAAGTGTCCACCAAGATCTGTGTGACCCCAAACACCTCCAGAAGGTGCTTTGGCCATAAGCAAGGGCTCTGACATCCCACAGCTGCACAGCAATGGGCTGGCACGGCCACCTGTGGCTCATGGCTCACAGCTGGCCATGCCCCAGTGTGATGCCTGAGGATGGCCCAAAGCTGTTACCTGCTGCTGGGCAAAGAAGTCCTTGATCAGGGCGCCCATGACCTGCTGTGGGGACCTGGCTGTGCTGATGTAGGGAAGAATGAAGCTGCCGTGGGTCTTCTCAGCATAGCAGATCCAGCCTGAGCCAACAGGAATACATGTCTTGGTAAGGGCACAGGGCAGGCATGGGGGCGGTGCACAGACAGCCTCTCCACGTAGCATGACATGACATTCTGGGGGTGGACCAACTCATACAAAAAATTGCAGTGGCATTAAAAACCATTCCCATTCTGTCACCACCACCAGCACGTGGAGTGTCAGTATCCAGGTGATTGCCAAAGGGAGCTGGTGGCTGCAGGTGACTTCTAGGCCCCACGGTGCCTCCTCCTCCAACAACCTAATGGTGCCGATACTTCTAACCTGCTTTTGCCTCCTCCCACCATCCTTCCTGCTTTCCCATGACAAGCTGTTGGTATCATGTCAAATTTTAACCTCCCTTGAACTTGAATCTCACGCTGTCTGTACATCCATGAGCACACCTGGACAGGCGGAAGCTAGCACAGGCAAGGCTTTTCTGGAGTCAGTCTGTCCTCGGAATCGCTGCACGAATTCTCGCTGGCTTTCAATGAGGCTGAAGTTTCTGGAGAAGGTGGTATCAAAGACGAAGTGTGCCCCTAGAAGGCAATGGAAGGCACACATATGCTTGACCTCAGCCATGGCCAGAACTGACATCACAGTGGCCTTTCCTGTGCTGATGACAGCAGCAGCAGCAGCATTGATGCCTCATACACACATACACCCCTCAAGCAGGGATTTGCCCTTCAGCAGCCCCTCAGATGTTTCCATGGCAGCCCAGGAAGCAGTTTTGTTTTTGTTTTTGTTTTTTGTTTTTTTAGTACTGGGGATTGAACTCAGGTCCTTGCGCTTGCGCAGCAGGCAGCGAAACCACTGAGCTAAATCCCCGGCCCAGCACAGTTTTATATATCAGTTTGTGCCATGTGGACAGCCCAAGTGCTGGGGTGGGGGTGGGGGGGCACCTGCTTCCCACAAGGCATCAACCCTACTGTAGTGAATTCCTGTAATTTTGTTGTCTCAATATCCATTTTGAGTATTGCTTAGCTCTCATACCAGAGGGAGAGCTCAGTCCCCTGGACATAGTTTCCTGTTCTCCACCTGCTTTCAGCTACTTAGTGTGGGACTTCCAGAGGTCTGCCTCATACAACTACCTCCTAGTAACCACATTGCCCACAGGACAACCACCCATACCCGCCTGGTATAGGCTGTGTAACGAGCTGCAGAGAACATTTCTCAGCAGAGTTTCTGTGGAACTTGTGCTTGTGTGCCCTAAATCCGGCAACCAAAACTCCCTGCAGGAAACCTGTTTGGACTCCAGAAAAGGACTGGCCTCTTGACTTGCTGAATCCTCCCTGCCTTGGACCTGGGA